TTTCCAGCGGAGGCACAGACAGCCTTCGCCAAGTCAGTGAGATTAAAGTCAGCAGGAAAGAGGCCGGGAGACGGCTGGATTCATGCCTGGCATGCACGGAGCCCCGGCAGGGCACAGAGCCCAGCACTGAGGGCGAGCACTCCACCAGATCACCAACAGAGATGCCTGACACAGCCAGAGTGATAGCACAGCAGAGAGGGCATTTGCCTTGCATGTGGTCAACCCGGGTTCGATCCCCGGCAACCCATACAGTTCCCCAAGCACTGTCAGAAGTAGTTCCTGAGCGCGGAGTCAGGAGGAGGAGGAGGAGGAGGAGGAGGAAGAGGAGGAGGAGGAGGAAGAGGAGGAGGAGGAGGAGGGAGAAGAAGAGGAGGAAGAAGAGGAGGAGGAAGAGGAGGAGGAGGAGGAGGAGGAGGAGGAGGAAGAAGAAGAAGAAGAAGAAGAAGAAGAAGAAGAAGAAGAAGAAGAAGAAGAAGAAGAAGAAGAAGAAGAAGAAGATACCTTGCCAGTTAGTACTCAAGTAACTAACCTTGAATTGGTTCTCTGCTGGGGTGGCACTGTTGCGCGTACACCTGGGGGGCTGAGCCTAACCACAACACCAGCCAGAGCTCAGAAACTTTAGGCCCATACCCCAAAGTATCACCTTATTAAACTAGGGAAGTCCCTAGCGGCCCTGCCCCAAACACACACACACACACACACACACACACGGGAGTATTCCAGAGAAGTGCTCCGGACTCTGGAATCTGGAGAAGGCTCAGAGCACAGCTGGCCGCATCTCTAGGACCCTCCTAGGTTTGGAAAGCAACAGACAGATGCAGAGAGAAGAGAGCAGAGCGAGTTCCTAGGGCATCAGACAAGAAGACCTTTGAAATTCAAGCTCTGGTAAGCAGATTAGGGGGACAGCATGTTTTGTGGCTGGTGGTCCACTTGGAAGCCTGGTGCCCCAGGTAAACCTTTAATAGGAGCCTTAGACATGGAGGTCCCTGACCAGATTAATGCTTTATGCTTGAAACCTTAGCGTCCTCAAGCAGTATAACTAAGAATAATAAGAAAAGCAGCACCTGCAGAGACTTTGAAGCGTCTTTTTATTTTATTTTTTTCTTTTTGGGTCACACCCAGCAATGCTCAAGGGTTACTCCTGGCTCTGCATTCAGGAATTACTCCTGGCAGTGCTTGGAGGACCATATGACTGCCAGGGATTGAATCTGTATCAGTCGTGTGCAAGGCAAACACCCTCCCTGCTATCCGCTATAGTATCACTCCGGCCCTCTGAGGCATCATTTAAACAGCAACTTAGTACAGCTGGCAGAGGGCTCGCCTTGCATGTGGCTAATCCAGGTTCTACCCCTTGTACCCCATATGGTCCCCGCCAAGAGAGCTCCTTGAGTGCAGAGTCAGGAGTAAACCCTGAACAACGCTGAGTATGGCCCCCCAATACAAAAACAACAGCAAAACAGCAACTTATACTAAAACCAAATCATAGGCGCAAGGTTCACAACCAAACTAGAAGGTTTTCTCATTACCCCTGCATCGGAGCACGTGAGGACAGACCACCATTACCAACCCTCTGCAGAGCAAGAGTCAGGCTGACTCAATTCAGAAGAGCCTCTGGAGGTGGCAGGGTTCACCCCAACCATCAGGAAGAGCAGGGGTGTCCAGCTTACACAGGAAGAGGTTTTCCAATGCAGAAAACCACCACAATGCCATGCGACACCATGTAAATCTCCATCCTGGCCCACCCCTGGTGTTTTGTAGGGTGCTACCTCCCCTTCTCTCTTACGAAGGAACACCCCTTTATCCAGCCATCACATACTCAAAATTTCTACATTAGGGACCTAGACACCAGCCTGAAACCATGGGTAAAGACATTTCATTTCTGTGTGTCCCACGCTCCTCAACTGTAAAACAGGACCACATTGGGGTAGGGCGCTACCGCTACCAAGTGGAGGTCTGGGGTCACCCCGACCCACTCACAGGGCTCTGAGGGCCACGTGGTTGTCAGGAATTGAACTCTGTCTTCTGCCCCCCCCAAGATAATTTTTTGGTCGTTTTGTTTTGCTTTTTTTAAAAATTTTTATTAGTGAAACACCATGAGGTACAGTTGTAGACTTACAAATTTTTGTGCTTGGATTTCAGTTATACAATGATCAAGTACCCATCCCTCCACCAGTGCCCATTTCCCAACACCACGGGTCCCAGTATCCCTCCCACCCCTTACCCCTTGTTTTTCTTTCTTTTTTTTTTTTTTTTTTGCTTTTTGGGTCACACCCGGCGATGCTCAGGGGTTACTCCTGGCTCATGCACTCAGGAATTACTCCTGGCGGTGCTCAGGGGACCATATGGGGTGGTGGGAATCGAACCTGTGTCGGTCATGTTGGCTGCGTGCAAGGCAAACGCACTACCCGCTGTGCTATCACTCCAGCCCCTTGTTTTGCTTTTAAGGTCACATCCAGCGATGCTCAGGGCTTACTCCTGGCTCTGCACTCAGGAATTACTCTTGGTGGTGCTCCGGGAACCACATGTTGGGATGTTGGGGATCGAACCCGGGTTGGCCTCGTGCAAGGCAAAGGCTCTATCCATTGTACTATCGTTTTGGCTCCTTCATGGGATCCTTTCAATGAGCACTGTCCTTACCTATCGCAAGAAACGCTGCTACTGAAGACAGTACAACAGGCAGGCCACTTACCTTGCATGTGTTCCAAGGGGGACTACACAGCATCCCGTGTAGTCCCCCAAACTCCACCAGGAGTAACCCCTGAGCATCGATGGGTATGGCCCCCAAACCAATAACCAAGTAAATAAAAAAAAATAAACTCGAGCAGCTCTGACGTGCATCAACAGAGACTGTCGTTGGTGGGGTAAGGAACACACGGTTCTTTACCCTTCCCAGGTCAGCTTCGGAGCTCAGGAAAATCGAAATCGTGCTCAACTGGTTTCCTCACTCAAAGCGAACAGCGATCATAATTATTCCAGGCGGGGGCTCCACCGAGCCTAACGTGATAATGATCCCTTTGTTAATTGGGGTCTCAGTGTGAACACCGCGACCTCCTCTGCGCTTCCCACCGCGCACGCCAGAGGGCGACAGAGACGGCGGAACCCGGGCCGCCAGCAAACCGGCGCAGTTCCGTGGCCGGCCACGCGGTGGCGCCGTGCCGCCGGCTGCTGCTTTTCCCGCAGACTCGGGGGAGCCGCCGGAGAGCGCTGATGGATGGAGCGAGGCGCGAGCTGGGGGCCAGGGGACACCCTGCGGCCGGAGAGCCGAAGCGAAGGCTCGGGGATCCCCGGGCCTGTAGCTCGGGTGGGAATGCCGGGTCTCGGTGCCCGGCGCCCCTCGCCCCGGGCCTGCACTCGCTTCCGCAGAGCAGCCTGGGTGCGCGACGCCCCGGAGCGGGAGAGCGCGCATCGGTGCGCGCGCGCGCTCCCGGGCTCCTCGCCGAAGCTCATTCATCTGCGGCCGCGGTACGCCGTTGCCATGGAGACGTGATGCAGACTGGCTGGGGGGCGGGAGGCCCCGGGTGACGTCCGCGCTGCCAGCAGCTCGTCTCCCGCGGCCTCCCAGTTCTTGCCTATTTTGGAAGAGCGCCGCAGCCCTTCTGCTGATGCGCGCGCGCTGGCGCCTTTTAAAGGCAACCGGCAGAGTGGCGGCTCCGCCAGAGCCGGGAGAGGCCCCCGCCCCCGAGTCGCGAGCCCCGCGCGGGCCTGGGCCCCGGGAAGCCCAGCTCAGCAGCCCCGCCACGCCCCTCACCTGAGCCCCCCACTGCCCACCCCCCCTGCAGGGAAATTTCAACCGTGGAGAAAGGCGGGCCTTCCCCTCGCCCCCCACCCCACCCCTTCCCCTCCTCCGACAGGGAAACTTCGGTAGGAACCGTGGAAGGAAGCGGAGCCAGGCCGAGCGCCTGGGCCAGCCCCTCGGACACGACCACAGAGTGAGAACGCCAGGTGAGGATTTCACGGCCCCCCATCCCGTGTCTGCAGACCCTCGCCCCCCTCTCCCGCCTCCTCCTGTAAGCTCTGGCCCCTTGGGCTCAGGCTGCCGTCAGGATAAGATCTTACACTTTCTCCAACCCCTCCTTGAATGGAGAGGGAAACTGAGGCCCAGAGAAGAGGACTGGGTCACACATGGCACGTTTTGGGAGAGCAGGGGCCGACATCCTGGCCAGAGGTCAGGTCCTCAGGCCTGGACACTGAAATCGGGCCAGCAGGCGCTGCGCTGCCCTGGCCCTGCTCTGCCCTGGCCCCTGCTGCCCCACACCAGGCCTCGGGGGGCTTTGTGGACCCAGGATTCCTGTGGACACGCTTCTGGACTCCACGGACTCGGGGTGAACCAATGAGGTGGCGGCAGACACCCGAGCCCTCCGCAGCGCACCACCTCTTGGAAGCTTCTGGAGCCGACCTTTCCTGGACATCCTGTCACTTGGTTTCAGGAGGAGCTGTGGTGGGCTAGCTGGGACAGGGCTGCCCGTGGGACCCCTGCCCCTGGCTAGCAGCGCCTGCGTCTCCCCAGAGCGCCCGAGGACTCCAGCGAGTGACCAGTCCAGGCCCAGGGAGACATCTCGGGGACCCAAAGGCAACTTCAAGCCAGCGCAGCCCTGTGGGGAGCAAGTTGGACCCAGGAGAGCGGGCCCCACCCTGGACCCTGGAATGGCCCTTTCCACTCCCGTGCACAAAAGGGGAAACTGAGGCAGCCCTGCAGAGACAGATTGGTCAAGGTCATGGCAGGTCCGTACAGTGCTGAGGCAAGGATGGTGGCGAGGCGCTCCCCGGCCCTGCTGACCTTGAGGCCCTTGTGCCAGGCCCCTGTGTGACGGCGCAGAGCAGGGCTTGCCGGTGCCGGGAGGGGACGCCACAGACGTTCGGGCGTCCCCCAGGAATGAGCGTGGTCCACGGCGTGGACGAGCACGTGGTGGACATCGTTGACGAGGGCAGGATGAGGATGAGCATCTGCACAAACACACATGCGCGCATGTGGCCAACCCCTTTCCGGGCAAACCTTGCCTACGGGGCTCTCGACACCAACGTGAGGATGACCCGGGTCGTGTCTCGTGACCCTTGGATCCCTGGAACGGTGAGTCCCGGCACCCGCCCCGACCTGGAGGAGGGGCCCCTAGGGACTGGGTGGGTTGGACGCGCCAGGCATGTCCCCAGGTCTAAAGGACCAGGTGGTTCTGAGCATCCTGGCCGAGAACTTGGCTTTAGAGGCTTTAGAGGAAACAAAGTTCACCGGGATCTGAGCACCAGGACCACGTTCACACCCAAATATCTGTCTGCTTCCACATGGCCCCACCCCCTGACACCGCCAAAGTACCAGGAGGGAAACAGAGGCCTGCAGGGAGGGGCTGCCTAGAGTCAGACCCAGACCCACCACTGACCTGCCCTGGACCCTCCAGCAACTTCCTGTCCCCACAGGTCCTCCAGCCTGTGGCTGGTCACGTGGGCTGCTGGTCACGTGGGCCACCCGCCAACCCCTTCTCTTCTGTTTTGTTTGGGGGGTGCCACACCTGGCGATGCTCAAGGCTTGCTCCTGGCTCTGTGCTCAGGGAGGGATTTGGGGGCCATATGGAAACTTGGGGATTGAACCCGGGTTGACTGCGTACAGGCAAACGCTCGACCCTCTGTGCTATCGCTCCAGCCCCTCCTTGATATGGTTCATTGACTCACAGGGTGAGGCTCACTTGGAGGGGCCGTTTCCTTTTATTTTCTGGGGAGACGTCATCTGGTAGTGCTCAGGGATCACTCCTGGCAGGGTTTGGGGGGCCTGTACAGGATCCCGGGGATTGAACCTGGGTTGGCCGCTGAATAGGCCCACACCCTACACACGGAGCCATTACTCCGGCCCCTGGGCTCCTCTCACTGGCCCCGAGAGCTTCTCTTCTACCTCTGGCTTGGCTCCAGGTCTCCCACTTTTTTTTTTTTTTTGCTTTTTGGGTTACACCCAGTGATGCTCAGGGGCTACTCCTGGCTCTGCACTCAGAAATTACTCCTGGTGGTGCTCGGGGGACCATATGGAATGTTGGGAATCGAACCCGTGTCAGCTGCATGCAAGGCAAACGCCCTACCCTCTGTGCTATCGCTCCAGCCCAGGTCCTCCACTTTTTATGCTCACCTGAACTAAAGGTAGAAAGAAGGTAGCGGTCACTGGATCTAGAAGGGGTTCTGGGTCATGGGTGGTCTGCATCCTGGCTGGGTGAGCTCTGGAAAGATGGCGGGGCGCAGGGAAGGGAACAGGGGCACTTGTGGCCCTGGACATACCAGGCCCAGGAGATGCAGCGAGGCAGTGACGGATGCGGAGAACCCCGAGGCCTCAGCCTCCACCCCTCCTCATTGCTGTCCTTCGCTCTCGGGTCTGGCCCGCCCGGTGCTCTCCAAAGCCGGGGTCCCCAGGCCCCATTTCTACACTCAGTGCCCCCAGACCTGCCTCATCCTCTTCCAGTGCCCCCTTCAGCACCCCACAGGCCACGGATGCTGCTCCAGGCTTTGGTGCAAGCGCTGCCAGGACAAAGCGCCTTCCTTCCGCCTCAACCCGGAATAGGGGGGTGCTATTATTCTCTGCATACCCATCTTTAACAGATGGGTAAACTGAGGCACTTGGTTACTGTGAAGGAGCCTAACTCTGGGCCCCTCCCCGCAGAGGCACCTTCCCCACGACTGCGGGGCCTCAGGCCCACCCGGCCCTGCTGCACTCCCTCCTCCCCCCCCACCACGCCCCCTGTCTGTGACCCAGGAGCAGGAGCCTGGGTCCCAGGGCCCAGCGGCACCCATTGCTCTCTCCTCCATCTTCACCCCAGCCCTTCTCCGGGGCAGCTGTACCTGGTGGGGGCGCATTCATGGTGGCACATACTCGCGTGCCCAGCACCCTCCCTTAGCTCTCACCCCTCTTTGGGGAGGCCCTCTGGCTTCTCTGCCCACTCACCCCAACTTTGTGCCCCCATGCCCCGCCCCTTCTTCAGGGCAGCCCTTCCACCATTGCCCCCCGGCCAGCCCAGGTACTCCTGGCTCGGTTCCCGACTCATTGCCCCAGGATGCCCCAAGCAGAGGCGTGTGCGTGAGGGAACCCCATGCTTGAGGCCTTGCTGGGCCCCCCGACTCTGGGGACTGGGCGAGGCAGCTGGGCAACAGAGCTCAGCCATGAGAAGTGCATGAACAGGAAGCACAGGGGCTGTGGGGGCTGGGCAGCGCCCCCTGGCCCAGCCGGAGGGACCAGCAGGCAAGGAGGAATTCCCCAGCCCGAGAGGGTGTGCGGGCAATGCCAAGCGGTGCGGAGCTAACCAAGAGCAGTGCTGGTGAGGGTGATGGTGATGGTGGTGAGGGTGGGATGGGGATGGGGGTGGGGATGGTGCTGATGGTGGCGGCGGCGATGGTGGTGGTGATGTGATGGTGATGGCGGTGCTGATGGTGCTGATGCTGATGGTGGCGATGCCATGGTAACGGTGATATGGTGCTGTGCTGATGGTGATGCTGATGGTGCTGATGGTGGTAATGGTGATGGTAGTGGTGATATGGTGTTATGCTGGTGGTGGTGCTGATGGTGGCAGTGCCATGGAAATGGTGATATGGTGATGCTGATGGTGCTCATGGTGGTAATGGTGATATGGTGCTGTGCTGATGGTGGTGCTGATGGTGCTGATGCCAAGGGTGCCGATGGCGGTGATGTCATGGTAATGGTGATATGGTGTTGGTGCTGATAGGGATGCTGATAGTGCTGATGATGGTAATGGTGATATGGTAATGGTGATGCTGATGCTGATGGTGCTGATGATGGTAATGGTGGTGGTGCTGATGGTGGCTGATGGTGCTGATAGTGGTCACGGTGATGGTGCTGATGGTGGTGCTGGTGATGGGGTGTCTGTCTGTCTGTCTGTCTGCTAGACTGCAGTTCCTGGAAGGGCAAGGCCAATGCACACATTCCCTTCCCTGCCCCTGTCTCCACAGTGCCTCATGAGAGGAGCATGCCCCCCCCTCCCCGCATTCAGAAGGTGTGTATAGGTTGGCCTCTTCCCTCCATGGAGCACGTCTGGGGTCTCGCATCCTCTCTCTGTGCCATCATCTCCCAACCCATTCCTGACTCGGCCCGGCGCCTCGCGTGGGTTTCTGCTCCGATGCTGTTCACATGAGCTGTGTTGATTCCATAACCATAAATAGATGAAATGTTCCGAATCCTCCCCTGTGCAGTAGAATTGGGGGAGTAATAACATAATGAAAAGGCCCTGAGAGAAAGGCGGGAGCCTGCTGAGACGCAGCCTCGAGACAGCCGCGCCCACCTGCTTGAGCCACACCAGCCTCAGGATGGAGGGGCCGGACGCCTCGGCATCCCCCCTGGCTCCAGAGCCGTGCCACAAAAGATTAGTCTCGTGTGAGGAGCTCGGGGTTGAAAGTCTGGATCTCCCTCCTCTTCTGGGGGAAGGCTGGTATTCTCCTGACTGAGACTGGGGGCTCGGGAGGTCGAAGACCCCCACAGATAAGGCACTACTGTCATTTTGGCAACACCCGGTGGTGCTCAGGCTTTACTCCTTGACTGCACCCAGGGATCATCCATGGAGGTGTTTGGGGGACCATGTGGGATGCCGGGGATCTAACCTGGGCCAGTTGTGTGCCAGGTAAGCACCCTACCTGCTGTACTATCACTCAGACCCATCCCAACAATTTATTATTATTATTATTTTGCTTTTGGATCACACCCAGTGATGCTCAGGGTTTAGTCTTGGCTCTGCACTCTGGAATTGCCCCTGGCAGTGCTCAGGGGGCCATATATGGGATGCCGGGGGTTGAACCCGGGTCAGCTGCTTGCAAGGCAAATGCCCTCCCCACCATACTATTGCTCCAGTCCCCCTGGCCACATTTTTAAGCATCAGTGTGAGATTCGCCATTCCTAAAGTGTGATCCTGAGGCTGGGGTCGGGGCGGGAGTGGGGAGGGCTCTGCCTCTGCTCTTCGGGTTCCGGCACCAAGGGGCAAGTTGGTGGGGAGGCCCTGTCTACACGGGCTCGAAACGAGTGACCCATCAGCCTGCTCAGTCTCTCAAAATTGGACACTGTTGGGGCGTGGCTGTCCTGTGATATTTGGGCAAGCAAAGGGAGGTGAAGCTTTGAACAGCAGAGATGCACCCAGAGGGGTCCATCCTCTGTCCTAAAGGCAGCTCTTGGGGCCAGAGAGATAGTACAGCAGGGAGGGTGTTTACTTTGCATGAGGCCAACTGGGGTTTGATCCCCAGCATCCACTATGCTCCTAAGCACTATCAGGAGTGATTCCTGAGTGCAGAGCCAGGAGTAAGCCCTGAGCATCACTGGGTGTGACCCCCAAACACACAAAATAATAAAATAAAATAAAATAAAAGGCAGCTAACCTTGTGGAAGGGTAGCGTGCAGGTATTTTGGGCCTTTCAGGCCATGAGGTTCTTGTTGCAATGGCTTGGCTCTGCTATTTGGGTGAAAACAAGATGAGGCACCCTGTCAAGGGGAGGCTATAGGCGGTGTGCCAATAAATCTTTATTGACAAAAGCACTCTGTGGGCCAGATTTGGCCTGGGGCCAGAGCCTACAGGTTCCTCTCTACCCCATGCTATGAGAGAAGGCACCCAGGCTGGGGGTCGGAGCTGGGCTTTGGATCCAGCATGGCCAGGAAGTTGCTGTGTGACGGAGGAAGTCGTTCTCTGCCTCTGAGTCTGGTCCCACCATCTGTCAAATGAGCAAAATCATGGCAGATCTGTCGTGAGCACAGGTCTAAAGGAGCCAGTCTAGGCCCTTCATCAGCCCTCTCCTCCCCACCCCTGCTGAGGTCTGACTGTCTCAAGAGTCAGCTCCTTGGCCTGGCTCAGGCCAGCGCCAAGTGACCCCATTTCCATAGTAAGCCAAGCAAAGAGGAAACGAAGAATCCCTTCCTGTCCACCATCCAGGCATTTGGCAGGAGGCTACAGTTTGCTTGAGAGAGTGATGTGGCCACAGTGGCCGGTGGCCAGGCCTTGGAGGAAGCCTCGGGATGCAGGCTGGGGCTAGAATAAGCCAAGGTGAGCCTGAAGCTTTCACCTTCCACCCTGCACCTGCCTGTCGCCCCAGCTTCCCTGGGGCATGAGTCAACTGGGTTCTGCTGGGGACTCAAGGCCCTCCCTGTTCCATGAATGAATCTTCCTGGAGCCCCGTTGCCTGAGCTTAGTTTGTTTGCCACGGGGTACTCGCATGCCCCCACCCTCTCCCTCTGCTCAAGACAGGATACACTTGACATCCTGCTGTCTGTCAAGATTCTTGCCCCCCCGGTCTCCCAAAGTCTTCCTAAACTGGAGTCTCCCAGTCATTCTGAAAAATCTCCCTACCAGCCTCCAGCTGGCTCCGGGAGCTCGCCCTCCTCGAAATCCCTGGAGAACACGTATCTCCTCTTTTCAGAACCAGGGAGGGGCCAGGTCCCTCCAGATTCCCAATAAAGCTATGCAAGACAGGGGCAAGGAATCTCACTGCCTGTTCTGGCTATAAAAAGCCCTTTTTCGGGAAAAAATAATAAAGAAAGAAACCAGCCAATCCCTCCTCGATGCCATCACCTCTTCTTGATTTTTCGGGGAAGGAGTGGGCGGGTTGCCATGGCAACAGCTGTGCGCGCCTCTCAATAAAGAAGGGACCTTGATATTTTTTTCTCTCATTCTCTCTCTTGGTTGTGTGTGCGCGCATGTGTGTGCGTGCTGTTCATGCCTGTGCCCACACCAGGGATTTTTTTTAAAGAACTAAAGAAAGCCCTTCTTCCCTTCAACTCCCCAAATATGGAGTGATGGAAAACCACTTACTCCTGCAAGCCAGGGAAGATTTGGGATGGTTTGGGAGGGAATGTGTCATACCGGGGTTCCCTTTCTCCATCTTTGTACTGGTGATTGCAATCAAAAGAGAGACCGCAGCAATTGGTTGGAAGTCAAGGGCTAGGAGGAAGAGTGGAGGCTGGCTGGACAGGGCAAAAGGGAAATGGTGCAAGAGCCCAGGTGACACCGGACGGGCCACAAAAGGTGCACTGAGCTGAAACACATGCAAATCTTTGCAGGCCCGTCAACTGCTGAGCAAGAAAGGTGCAGAGCAGATGCAGGTGTGGACAGAATGCCACATAGGGTCAGGGGCAGCCTGCATGATGCAAACACTGAAATACCTACATGCACCCACATGGAGCTAGACCCGACACAGGGAGTCATCAACATTTTTGCAAAGCCAGGTGCAGACGCTGCCCCAGGTGAACATAAATATCCAGGGGGTAGAGTCATGCAGCTACCAAGACCCCTGGAGGCAGACAGACATGCCAGCTCAGGGGGTCAAAGGCTCGTACATGCACACCCATGCAGCTCCTTAAGGTTTGCCCCCTCCCAGCAGCCCCAAGCCTCCTTTCCCAGCTCCCCAGCTGCAAGCTCACAGCTCATCTGAGTGACTCCTGTCCCCCCCGTTCCTCTGCATATTCACCCCAAAGCCCCTCTCCCAACTCACTTCCTTGCCCACTTCCCCAAAGCCAAGGGCTCTGGTGCCTCCCCCATCTCAGCTTTCAGTTCTTAGCTTGTTCCGCTGCTGCCGCCGCCGCCTCTTGGGGGGGAGAGTGGGTGACTCAGCCAGGCCAGGATGACTCACACTGCCTGTATTTTTAGCAGCGGCCAGGAGCTCTCTAGTGTGCCAGCCGCCCCCCTCCTCCTGCTTGCTATTTTGGAACCGTCACTGGTGATATAAATAGTTCCTCTCCCACGGCCTGAAGCTGCTGCCAACCTATTTTTGGTTCTGCACGGTTAAAAATAGCGCCGTGGAGGAGGGAACTAGAGGGGACTGGGGGCCGGCCTGGGGAGAGAAGACATTAGGGAGGGCATCCAGGGCTCCTCAGCTCTGTGTGGGTGGGACAGCAGAGCCCTCTTTACCCCCCCATCCCTTTCTAGACCCTTCTTCACTTCCACAATACCTTCCCCCCCACCAAAGTCCATTCTCCTGGAAAATTCCAAGGGCTGCTTCCTTGAGCCCAATTCTCTCCCTCCTGCCCGTTTCCCTTCGAGAGCTCAGAAATCTTGGCGCCCCCTCCCCAAAGCCCCTCACATATCCACCCTCAGACGAGAACGGGGGGGGGGGTTGCCCACTGGACCCCCTCCCTTCCAAGACCTGTGTGGGCTCAACACTCCTTGGGCGGCCCAGGCTGAACAGGACCAATAGGACGGTCCTGATGGTTTGGTTCAGGACCACGGACAGCGCTCAGGCTGCTGCTGCAGATGGCACGTGGAGAGAGACCCCTGGTTGTTGACAGGCACACCCCAGAGCCCCCTTGCTGCCAGGGAAGGTGCAGGGTGTGTGTGCATGGGAGGACCACTGGAGCACTGCCCTGGGTGTCATCGAGAAGCGCAGCTAGAGGAAAGTGGCACACAGAACCTTTAACGGGGGGCGTTTTCTGTCCCCCAGGTTAATGGGGTCAGACTGTGGCAGACAGACACCCCTTCCTTCCATCACAGCGGTACCCTCCACACGGGAGATGGAAGACCCCTGCCAACATGACTCAAGGGGTGAGGATGAGCACCCTGACCCCTGCTCAAACCCCTTCCCCCACACTCGCCCCCTGCCCCCCATGTGTTCCTTGACCCCAAACTTTTTCCTTGGTATCTGAGTTTCTCCCCTTCCCCGGTGACTCTTGCAACCAGGCCGCCCTCTCCCTCCTCTGCAAGTGGCCTCATTCCCAGCCCCTCTCCAGAGGGCCCAGGCCACTTCCTCCTCCATTTATGGCATTGGGGAGTGGGGGGGGGGGCTTGGCCCAGAGGAGAAGCAGCATCGGTGGCAAAATAAAAGGAGGAAAGGGGGTGAGGTGAGCAGGGTCCCCAAGAGGAAGCACCAGGAGGGGACAGTGGGGGCCGAGGATGCCCAAAGCAGGCAGTGAGCTGGCCACAAACAAGCAGGCAGGGGGATGTGGAGCGGGAGGGGTCCTAGCCCCGAAGGTGGGGAGGGGTGCAGCGGGAGGAGGGCAGCTGGACGCAGTGAGGGGGGCACCCAGGATGCAGGGGTCCGGGACGCGCAGCGCAGGAGAGGCGACCCTACGTAGGATGTGTCCGTGGCGCTCCCGGAGCCCAGAGGAAGGGAGGGGAGCGGGGGTCAAGCAGGGGAGCCCGGCGGGGGGATGCCGGGGAGCAGGGGGAGCCGGCGCAGAGCGGAGGGGAGCAGGCGCGGTGCGGAGGGGAGCCGGAGCGGGGAGCAGGGGGAGCCGGCGCCGTGCGGAGGCGCAGCCCCGCCCGCCGCGCCCAGCCGCTTCCTAATAAGGTTCGGGGATTCCCCGGCGCCGCCCCCGCCCCCGGCCCGGGGAGCCCGCAGTCTCCTGTGAAGGCGGGACCGCGCGGGGCGGGGGGAGCTGGGGGGTGGGTCAGACCCGGCGCCTCAGTGCCCGGGGCCGGCCTCAGTTTCCCTTGGCAGAAGCTGCGGCTCCTCAGGGGGCCGGGAAGGGGGGCACTGCCGCAGGCGCGGGGGTGGGGAGGGGGGGTCTGTGCGGCCGCGGGTGGGCACGTCTTCCAGGCCCCTTCCCGCCACCCGAGGGGTTCAGCCCCCCCGGGGATTCCCCTTTTCCACCTTGGTCCCGGTTTGCCCAGGGAGGGGGCTTTGGCTGTGAAAGTGACTAAGGGAATCCCAGCTTGAGTGGTCAGGGGAGAGGAGGCCCAGGGGCGACCCGGGAGGGGGCGAGGAAAAGGCTTCCCCCCTCCCACGTGACCTTCGTCTGGCAAACAGTGAGGGGGCCCTTGGGGACCACCCTGCTCCTCCTCCTCTTCACCGATAAAAATGTGGAAGCAGGACCCCCCTCCCCACGCTCCTGCAGGGGGCTGCACGCATCCTCGCCCCCCTGCCCTTCTGCAGAGTGCACCCATGCGCCTGGGTCCCCGCACCCCCTTAGCAGGCTCCCGAACGCAGCGCCCCCTCCGCAGCCTCCTGCTCCCCCTCCCTGCAGCCCCCCTCCCGCTCTCGCTCTACGTCACGGGATGACGTGGACGCGGGGAGGGGGGAGGAGCGCCCCCCCTCCCCAGCCAGCGGCTCCCGCTGCAGTTTGCTTAGCCCAGCCTCCCTCTCGCCCGCCCCCCTTCTCTCTGCCTGCCCCCCACGCCCGGCAGGAGCTATATAAGGCGGGAGCCGGCAGGCGAGGGGGGCAGCGCAGCCGAGCGGAGCCCAGGAGAGGAGAGAGAGTGAGCGCCTGAGCGAGAGACGGGGAAGCCGGGAAGAGGCAGCCACCGGCGCGGCGGGACGCGAACGCAGGTGTCCGGGGCGCCGGCCTGGAGCTCCGCAGCCGCGAGCCATGTACCGCTCCACCAAGGGCGCCTCCAAGGCGCGCCGGGACCAGATCAACGCGGAGATCCGGAACCTCAAGGAACTGCTGCCGCTGGCCGAAGCGGACAAGGTCCGGCTCTCCTATCTGCACATCATGAGTCTCGCCTGCATCTACACTCGCAAGGGCGTCTTCTTTGCCGGAGGTGAGCCCCCGGGGGCTGTACGAAACCCGATCCCAGGGGTCCTGGGGAGAGTGGACCGGAGGGACCCCGCTGGGACGGCCGCTCCGCTAGGGCTGTGTCGGCGACCGGGCAGAGAAGGCATTTGGGAGAAGCCAGGAAATCCCCCTGCGAGCTCGGGCCATGCTGCCCCGCAGCTCTGGGTGCAGGGTAGAGAGCCTGGATCGTGTCCCCGGTGCTGGACGCACGGCAGGAGGAAAGGCAGCCCAGCGGGTCCCCGGTCCCCATCAGCTCAGAGGCGCTCCCCAAGACCCGGGCAGAGAAGCCTGGAAGTTTCGGGGATGTAGTCGCTCAGCCCGGGGAAGCGTAGCCGCTGTCCGAGGTGCTGAACAGACGCGCTCGCAGCCCGCGGGAGGGAGACGCTGTCCGCGGTGCTGGCGCTGCCCGGAGCCCGGGAGCTGTCCGCGGTGCTGAAATCGCCGGGGCGGTTGGGAGCTGCTGGAGGCTCTTCCATCCCCGCGCTGCGAGCGAGCGGGCTTCCTCCCTGACTGAGAAGTCTCAGGGCGGGCGCACTGGGGAGGTCCAGCAACAGGTTCCCGGCAAAGAGCTGCGGGCAGTGGGTCAACAGGTGTGCTCAGAGGGAGCGCCCGTCAGAAACCCTCTGCAACGGCTGACACTCGGGCAGCCCTTCTGCGGTGCCACCCTGGTCTTCCTCCAGACTCACGAGGTCTCCCCTCCTCTGCAGGCTCTCCTCTGGCCGGCCCCACGGGGCTGCTCTCAGCCCAGGAGCTTGAAGACATCGTGGCGGCACTCCCCGGATTCCTGCTGGCATTCACAGCGGAGGGGAAGTTGCTGTATCTGTCCGAGAGTGTGAGCGACCACCTGGGCCATTCCATGGTGAGTGCCAGGGGGTGTCTGGGGGGTTTCGGCATGGGTTCAGGCACACATGGGAGATGATGAGCTTCCACCTGTGAGATCGATCGGGGAGGGTGGGGTTGTCCCCTGCAGGATGCCACATGGCAGGACCGTCCGCCACCTTCACTGATGGTCAATTCCTTCCTGCAGGTGGATCTGGTGGCTCAAGGAGACAGCATCTACGACATCATTGACCCAGCTGACCACCTAACTGTGCGCCAGCAGCTCACCCTGCATTCGGCTCTGGACACTGGTGAGCACCCCCTTCTCCCTCCTCGTCCCTCTGGCTGCCTGCTCCGCCCTCTGTGCCCTCAGCTCTGCCCCCATCTCAACAGTCTTTCTTTTTGCCCCTCTAGACCGTCTCTTCCGCTGTCGCTTCAACACCTCCAAGTCCCTCAGGCGCCAGAGTGCCGGCAACAAACTGGTGCTTATCCGTGGCCGCTTCCACGCTCACCCGCCCGGAGCTTACTGGGCGGGCAACCCCGTGTTCACAGCGTTCTGTGCACCCCTGGAACCGAGGCCCCGCCCTGGGCCCGGCCCCGGCCCTGGCCCCGGCCCTGCATCGCTCTTCCTGGCCATGTTCCAGAGCCGCCACGCCAAGGATCTGGCCCTCCTGGACATCTCTGAAAGGTAAGACCAGAGATCGGAATCCAGGGAGGGAGAGACAGGACAGAGATGAGGGGACCCTAGATTTCGGTGTCGGGGGGGGTGGGGCTGCAGAGCGCCACGGCCCTGGTGGGGAGTGAGATGCCTGGGCAGGGAGCAGGGACAACAGGAAGCTGACCTCGCCCTTTCCGCCTCCCCAGCGTCCAAATCTACCTGGGCTACGAGCGCACTGAACTGCTCTGTAAGTCATGGTACGGACTGCTGCACCCCGAAGACCTGGGCCACGCCTCTGCTCAGCACTACCGACTGTGTGAGTGTCCAAGGCCGGGCTGGCAGGGATGACGGGGCTCAAGTCTAACGTTCACAGAGAGCCCAGGGGCCAACAGTTTTAGATGCTCCAGGTGGGCCTTCGGGCCAGGAGCAGAACTGGGGGAGTCCAGGTTGGTGAGGTCAAGGTTGGGAGCTGAGGGGCACAGGTTAGCAGGACAGTCAGGCAACAGGAGGTCCCGGATACCCCAGCTCAGGGCAGGGGGGGCTCAGACGGTGTGGCCTGACCCAAGCCCTAACTCTCTTTCTCTTCTTTCTCCCCCAGTGGCTGAGAGTGGAGACATTCAGGCCGAGATGGTGGTGCGGCTGCAAGCCAAGCCCGGAGGTTGGGCGTGGGTTTACTGCCTGTTATACTCAGAGGGCCTGGAGGGCCCCATCACTGCCAACAACTACCCGATCAGGTGAACAGCAAGGCCGGGACCCGGGAGGGGGCAGCAGCGGTGGGCAGAAGCGTCTGGATGGACCCTCCCGGGAGCGGACAGCAAGCCCTTACCGGCTGCCTCTTCTCTCTCCAGTGACACAGAGGCCTGGAGCCTCCGCCAGCAGCTGAACTCGGAAAACAGCCAGCCCGGCTACCTCCTGGGCACCCCCGCCGCGCTGACCACCTTCCCGCCAGCCGTGGTCAGCCAGGAGCAGTGCTCCAGCCCCGACCCCCTGTTCACCCCTGCCCCGGCGGGCCCCAGGAGCGCCAGTTTCCCCAGCGCCCCCGAACTGGGGGCTGCCTCCACGTCCGAGGATCTTCGGCGGCCCCGCAAGGAGCCAGGCTTCACTTACCTGACCTTCCCGGCGGGCGCGGAGCCGCCCCTGCAGGCCGACCTGAGCAAGGACCTGGTGTGCACGCCCCCCTACACGCCCCACCAGCTGGGGGGCTGCGCCTTCCTCTTCAGCCTCCACGAGCCCTTCCAGACCCACCTGCCCGCCGCCTCGGGCGCTCTCCATGAGCAGTTGACTCCCAGCACGGCCACCTTCTCCGAGCAGCTGACCCCCAGCAGCGCCACCTTCCCGGGCCCGCTGACCGAAGCTGCCGTCGGCAGCTATGAAGAGGCGCTGGGGGCCGGAGCCTCGTCCTTCCCGGACCAGCTGCTGCCCAGCACGGCCGCCTTCCCCGAGCCTCTGGGCAGCCCCACCCAGGAGCAGCTGACCCCGCCCACCACGGCCTTCCAGGCCCACCTGAACAGCCCCAGCCAGACTTTCCCGGAGCCGCTCAGCCCCAATCCCACCAAGACGTACTTTGCCCAGGAGGGCTGCAGTTTTCTCTATGAGAAGTTGCCCCCGAGTCCCAGCAGCCCTGGTAATGGGGACTGCACGCTGCTGGCCCTCGCCCAGCTCCGGGGGCCGCTCTCCGTGGACGTGCCCCTGATGCCCGAAGGCCTGCTCACCCCCGAGGCCTCGCCCGTCAAGCAGAGTTTCTTCCACTACTCGGAGAAGGCGCAGAGTGAGATCGAACGGCTCATCCAGCAGATCGGTCAGCTGGCCCAAGGCTCGGATAGGCCCTTCTCGGCCGAGGCCGGCGCCGGCGGCCTGGAGTCACTCGGAGGACTGGAGCCGCTGAACCCCAACCTGTCCCTGTCGGGGGCTGGCCCCCCTGTGCTCAGCCTGGACCTGAAGCCCTGGAAGTGCCAGGAGCTGGACTTCCTGGCGGGTTCCAACAACATGTTCCTGGAGGAGCTGCCTGTGGAAGACATCTTCATGGATCTCTCCAGCCCAGACCCCAGTGGGGAGTGGGGCTCCGGGGAGCCCGAAGCCGCCATCCCGGCAGGAACCCCTTCGCCTTGCAACAACCTGTCCCCAGAAGACCATAGCTTCCTGGAGGACCTGGCCACCTATGAAACCGCCTTTGAGACAGGTGTCTCAGCTTTCCCCTACGATGGGTTTACTGATGAGTTGCATCAACTCCAGAGCCAAGTTCAAGACAGCTTCCATGAAGGTGAGTCGGGCCCCGCCCCCGCGAAGGGACTTGGTGGGCGCAGCGCCTCGGAGTTGTCAATGGGGTGCCCCAGGGGGGTGCGGAGAGGGAACGAGGAGTGCCGCGGTTGGAAGGTTCTGGACAAGGGAGCCTGGAGGGCCAGGCAAGGAGTGTGGCACCGACTCCCAGAGTGGTCTCGGGCCGTGGCTTGTGCTTCTTAATCCTCCGAGGGGCCTTAGTGAAGACCCTCGAGGTCCTCACGAGGGAAGGTTGAGCTCAGACAACAGCCCGACAGAGGAGGGATGGGCGCCCCCTGAGTTCTTGCCCCACAGAGCGAGTTGGCAGGCTTTCGGGGAAGTGGGTGGGGCTTGTCCCGTTCCCATCGCCAGCTCCTTTTTGGAACCATTGGCCCAATGGCTCCCTGGCCTTCTGAGGCTCTGGCGGGGGGTCAGTTGTCTGGTCCAGGTGTCCACACAGCAGCCCACCCTTAGGCCACGGTCCCACTTTCTTGCCAGGCCCTGCTGACCATCTCCCCCTCCCTGTGTCTCTCTCTCCGCAGATGGAAGTGGAGGGGAACCAACGTTTTGAATAAGTCTGTGACTTAACGTCGTCAAGTATGGCATATTGTCATCAAGACGTGGAGCCGCTCTCCACCCCCCCGGAACTGCTGGGGGGATTCTGGAGGCCGGAGGGGGATATATCTGATTCCCCAGGCCTTGCAGGATTGGGGGGGAGGGGGTGGGCGGGCCAGGGAGGGGAGCTTCTTTTTAAAATGTAGACACTCCCGGACACCCCAGCTTCCCTTTCAATCTGTATTCACTCGTAGTGAGTTTCCTTGAATGGGATTTCAAGCGGAGAAAGGGGGAGTCTCACTTCCCCCCCACGCTGCCCCATGGGCCTGGGTCACTTCTCCACTCCTGGGGGCCAAGTCCCCCCCCCGCCAGGCCTTGGTGGGGGAAAGGCCCCGCCCACCGGGCCCACCCGTGCCCCTCGGGGCCCGTGACACCCACGTAGAATTCTCTACACACCAGTAACGGGATTTCAATTCCTGTGGACGATGCCGCCCCGGCGGCCCTTCTTGTGACTTTTGCGCCCCGCGCCTGGGGTGTGGGGTGCGGAGAGACACGACATTCCTTTCCGCTGGAGGAAGGCAGCCCCGCCGCTGTCACGCGTATGCTCGCCCGAGTGCGTCTCCTGGTGCGGGGCTCACCTGGCCGCCAGACTGCCTGCGCCCGCCCAGGCGGCCACCTCGTGGTGCTGCGGTGACTTTGTAGCCAACTTTATAATAAAGTCCAGTTTGCCTTTTTGGTAGCCCTGGTGTCCTGCACTGCTGTGGAGAGGGAAGTGGGGGGGTGGCCAGAGGCCAAGGGTGAACCGCCAGTCACCCTGGCCGGTCTTCATTTGCTGGGGCACTCACTCACTCATCACATGGAGGGCACGTGGTCCAGCCGGAGCGGGAGGCGGGCGGGCTGGGCGTGGGAACAGGCAGCATCTTACCTGGATGGTGCTGGGCCAGCCGTGGCATGTCCTCTGCTCCTGGGCTCCAGGTGGCAGAGTGCTCGGGCGGTGATGGGGCTGGCCAGGCCCCCGGACACAGGTTCCGGACTCCAGCTGCAGAGAAGCGCCCTCCCGGGGCTCCCTGACCTTCTCCTGGAGCCTGAACTGTCTCCGTGCCTTGGCCGGGGACTCGCTGCAAATGCCCCTACAGCCCCAACTCGCTTCCATGAGCTTCTGCTCTGGTGCGTCAGCACCACCTCCACCGAGAAGACACTGGGTCCTAGGTCAAGCGGGACCGTCCCAAATGTCAGGGGGCTGGGGCTGGAGTGATAGCACAACGGGGAGGGCGTTTGCCTTGCACGCGGCCGTCCCAGGTTCGATTTCCAGCTTCCCATATGGTCCCTTGAGCACCACCAGGAGTAATTCCTGAGTGAGAGCAGGAGTAACCCCTGTGCCTTGCCGGGTGTGACCCAAAAAGAAAAAAAAAACCAAACCCCAGGGGGCTGTCTGCGCCTGGCCCTCAAAGCATCAGAGTCTCTCCCACTCTGCCACCCGGTCACTGAGAGGGCAGCTGGGCCTGTCCGGCCTTTAGCAGAGCCCCCAAATCCCGAACGGAGTAGAACCCAGCGGGGTCAGAGGAAACGTTCCCAAGATGGAGAGGCTGCGAGGGGTGGAGGTGCCCGCCGTGCATGTGGCCGAACCCCCACCTGTTCCCCAGCACAGTACTACGGGGGGTGGCCCCCATGGCGCCCCAAAAGAGAGGTTCTCAAAAATACTCTTTTCTTCTAAGTTGAGAGTCCCACAGCCACTGGTTACAGTGGGGAGGAAGGCCAGGTGGGAGATGGAAGGTACTAGAAGTTTCTGGACTCACCTCCAGCAATTACTCACAAAGCCAAACCTCAGTTCTGTTCCCCAGGTGAAATGGGGCTAACAAAACACAACTTTGCAAAACATGGGAGCTGAGGGGGCCTGCCGGGATCATGGAAACCAGGGTGGGGGGGGTGGGGAAATTGTTTCTGAGTAAACAAAGGCAACAAAAGAGATGGGTTCAAGTGACTTGGAGAGCAATGGTGAGGTGGAGAATTCCTCAAAGAGGGGAAAGAATTCCAGGTGCAAAGGGTTGGAGGGAGCACAGCAGGGAGGGTGGCACTGCATAGGGTCCCCCAAGTCCACCAGGCATGACTCCTGAGCACCACCAGGTGTGGTTCAAGTCACTCTGCCTAAAAATAGAATCCAGCTGCCCGCATTCCTGGTCCCAGGAGCTGAGAGCACAGCCTGGGAGCTCCCTGCACCTGCTCTCGCTCATTCCCTGGGTCAGCCCTTCAGCAGGACTTGGGGGGGAGCAGACAGACCCTGCGACCAGCTGCCCCGAGCTACTCAGCTTCTTTTTGTTCTTTGTTTTTCTTTGCTTTTTTGGGTCACACCTGGTTGTGCTCAGGTCATGCTCGGGGGTTACTGATATAGTCATTCCTGTCTCTGCCTTCAGAAATGACGCCTGGTGGTGCTCGGGGGACCACATGGGATGCTGGGGATTGAGCCCTGGTCAACTGCATGCAAGGCAAGCGCCCAAACCCATGTACTACCACTCCGGGCCAGTTACTCAACTTCTTGTCTTTCGACGGTCAAGGCTGAAAGCAGGAACCAAATTCAATTATTTGGGAAAAGAAAGGGAGGGGAACTGGGGACTTAGGGTCTTCTTAAGTCAGATTCTGGGAAAGAGGAAAACCTCCCTTTATGGGGGATGGCTGAGCCCTGAGTTTAATTGAGGGTCCTCACCTCTGGACTATTTCTCTGGCCCAGGATGTTTGAGGCCAGAGCACTAGGACAGAATCTATAAGGCGCCTCCTAAGACAAACACTTGAGTCCCTTGCAGCCCCCTCATCCCTACCCCTGGGCCTGGCAGCTGTGGCTCAGCGGTAAAGCACTGGCCTTGCATATGTGAGACCCTGGGTTCCAGCGCCAACACTGAGATAAATTAAACGATAATTGTTTCTGTGGAACGGGGAAATAACTCAGGCGGATGAGCACATGCAAAGCGTATTTTGCATGTGGAATACCTAGGTTGGATCCCTGACACCACATGGTCCCCTGAGCATTGCCAGGAAAGAACCCAGAGCACAGAGCCAGGGAGTAGGCCCCAAGCACCGCCAGATGTGGCCCAAACCCAAACTGAACCCAACAACCTCCCTGTCCTCATCAAAAACAAGGAAACCCTCGCAGAAACTGTAACAGCTGAGCAGAGCCTAGGGAGCCTGATGAGATTGAGTGCGTCTTTGGGCTGGGATCCCGGAACAGAGGGGGGATAGGACACAGACCCCAAACCCCAGAGCCGGTGTTAGGTCTGGCCACAGGTAACGGCAATCAGCCCGTCCACTGAGACACGGCACCTGCGGAAACGATAGACTCTTCCCAACTCTTTTGCCCATCGAAGCCCATTCAAGAAAACGCTTCTTGAAAAAGTAGAACCGAATAAATGAAAATTAAGAATGAAAAAGTATGTGAGAAGAAAACACTTCACTGGCTGGCGTAGGCTGGTGCTGGAGGGTGTTAGCAGAGCCCGGGGTGGAAAGAATCAAGCCCAGGAAAAAGACAGACGTGCCCATGGCGCCACCTGCCGGCCGGGAAGACAAAGGCTCCTCTCGCATTGTTCAGAAGCCAATGTGCTAGGAGCCAGCCCAGGGGGGCCGAGGGCAACAGCGTTTCGGGATCCTTTCACCCAATCAACTGCTGCCTGGCAGAATGTAGGCAAAAGGTCTGAGGTCTGGGAATGACAAAGATCCAGCTGGGGCTACGGCTCTGTCTGAGGTGCTGGTCCCACCCCAGGAGCTCTCCCCCTCTCCCAAATTACAAAACATTAATAAAAAAGGGGGAGACAGAGAAATAGTGCAGCGGGTCTGGCGTTTGCCTTGCAAGCAGCTGACCCCGATTTGATCCCCCTCTTCCCATAAGGTCCCCCTGTGTATCACCAGGAGTGACTCCTGAGTGTAGAGCCAGCTGTTACCCCTGAGCATCACCAGGTATGGCCCTCACCCCCCTCTGGAGAAGGGATGGCTTTAGTACTGGCTCTGTGATCTTACTTTTCCATGTAATAAAGATTTTTAATATAGGTGCCAGGATCTACGCTGAGGGTGACACAGTGGACTAGACAGGATAGGGTTCCCTCGGGATATGGCTCAGGGTAGAGCATTTGCCCTGCATGAGAGGTCCTGCTTTCAATCCCCAGCATACAACAAAATGAAAAGCGGAAGTTTAAAGCACAAGCAGCCCTGGGGCATCGGGACTGTGAACCAAAGTGCCAAAGTTGCTCATTGTGTGGAAACCACCTACTATGGTTTAGTGGCAGATCCTGGGCGGAGAGTTAGGGAAGCACAGGGCCTAGAGCACTGTTTGCACGAGCAGAGATAGTGTGGTGGCTAAGGCGTGTGCCTTGCATGCAGCCAACCCAGGCTGGACCCCAGCACCACACGGTCCTCTGAGGACAGCTGAGCTTTTGCCCCGCAGCACTGCCTGGTGTGGCAAAAAACATACAAAATCCCTAAAAAGAAAAAGCAATCATAGAATGGGCTATGGGCCACATTGACTGGTGCTTGGGACTGTATATTAGTTAGTGAAAATCATTTTAAAAGAAAAAACTCATGGGCTGGGGTGATAGTACAGTGAGTAGGGTGTTTGCCTTGCATGCAGCTGACCTAGGTTCGATCTCTGACACCCTATATGGTCCCCTGAGCACTGCCAGGAGTGATTCCTGAGTGCAGAGCCAGGAATAACCTCTAAACATTACCAGGTGTGGCCCAGAAGTTTTAAAAAAAATCAGTATCTGGGGCCAGAGTGATAGAAGAGCAGGTAGGGCATTTGACTTGGGTTCGATCTCCACCCTCCAAATAGTCCCCTAGGCCCCACCAAGAACGATCCCCGAGCATAGAGTCAGGAGTAAGCCCTGAGCACTGCAAGGTGTGGCCCAAACCACCGCCACAAACCAGTATTTGAGTTAATTACTGCACTGGCACCTCACTGTGAGTTGGTTTGTTAAGTGTGATCACCAGAAAGATACTACAGTGGGCAAGGTGCTTGCCTTGCATACAGCAGAACCTGGTTCGAATCCCTCTGGCATAACATGATCACTGAGCACCACCGGGGTCACTCCTGAGCACAGAGCCAGGAACAGCCCCGGTGCTCTGCTGGGTGCATGGCTCAAGCTCTTTCCAAACACAGCAGCTTGATTCTCAATGTACCACATTCCACTGTGATGGCCAGAATAGACAAGGAAATTGCAAACTTCAATCACCAGTTACAGACCGTTAGAAACAAGAACGAGATGAAGAAAGTGGCAGAGCAGGACGAGAATGTTCTTGTGTGAGCTCCCCCACCCCTAATCTTCGAGAGTTTTCCTACAGGGGGCTGCACCTGACAGGGGCCTCCAAGGGCTGAGCGGGTCATGAGGGGTGATGACTAGGGGGCTTGGGGCCAGAGGGCAGCGAGTGAGGCACTTGCCTTGCATATGGTCGATCTGGGTTCGATCCCTGGCAGCCCATATGGTCAGTCCCCTGAGCACCGCCAGGAGTGATCCCTGAGCGCAATGCCAGGAGTAACTCCTGAGCACTAGCGGGTGTGACCCCAAAACAAAACCCAAAATCAAAAGTCTAGGGGATTGGAGCAATAGCACAGCAGAAAGGGCACTTGTCTTGCACACAACCAACCCAGGTTCGATCCCCAGTACCCCAAGTGGTCCCCTGAGCCCTGCTAGGAATGATCCCTGAAGACAGAGCCAGGAGTGAACCCTGAGCACTGCTGGATGTGGCCAAAAAAAAAAAAAAAAAAAAGACCCAAAATAAAAAGGAACAGTAGAGGAACCCCTACTTAGCATTTCCCTCACATGGCAGAGCTGAGTTCTGGGGCAGAGGAGACAGAGGCACCAGGACAGAGCGAGGAGCTGGGCCAGAGAGATGCCAGACTTCCCGCCTTGCACCCCATCAACTTCCGTGGTCCCAGGCTTCAGACTATTCCTGTGTTCAGGTGCGACCCCTGGTGGTGCTGGCGTGTATGTGCGGCGTAGGGGACCAAACTGGGATGGGTCACATGCAAGTGCCTTCATCCCAGAACTGCCTCTCTGGCCGCCAGCCCAGCTTCCTTCCCTGGAAACTCTGCCCTGAAGCTTCAGGGGCTGTGCCCTTCCGCGGCCACACACACCGCTTCCCTTGTCCCCTCCATCCCCTGACACCTAAGCCCACAGCACTTCCAGTAGCTTGTCTTGGGGTTGGGCCTTCTGGGGAAAATGCAGACCACAGGCCCCACGACTGAGGGCTTGGAACAGTGAGACCCACAGGAGAGTGAGTGGCTGTCTGCAATTGTTCTAGGCAGGTAATTAATACTGAGCATGTGTGCCAACTCTTTGCCAAGTTCCAAGCAGAAATCCAGCCTTGAGAGACTCAGCAGCCGAAGCACTAGCCTCGCAGGGCGCTCCTGGAGCATGGAGCTGGGAGTCAGCCCTGAGCAACACTGGCTGTGGGCACCCCTCGGGAAAGCGAGAATTCAACAGTATTTATAGTAGGACCACAGTTTGAGTGCGTGCGTGCGTGCATGCGTGAGTGTGTGTGTGCGTGTGTGAAGTATTTTATACAAATTCACATGTAGAGAAAAACAGCACCTGGAGGGCACGTGTGTGGGGGTGTGACTCGGTGCGTGGCTCCTGTTGGGGTTCTCCAGTGTCCTCCGCAGTGCCTGGAAGGCCCAGAGCCCACTGACATGGTTGCCCCACTGTGGGGCTGTGACCCACCTGCCGCCCCCACAGGGGCCGTTTCTGTGTGGGCCCCAAGACCCCCAGGCCTCACATATGCGAAGTGAGCCAGGCCCTGGGCTGTGTGCCAAATGTGGCAGAAAGGCCCCGCTTCTGGGGGCAGCGCCATCCCACCCCCCCCAGGGCCCCACGACAGGAGTGGAGAGGGTGACAGAGATGTTTATTTCGCCTGGCTCCCATGGCCGTGGGGAAACGTGAGACTCTGGTCAGGAGAGGCCTTGGGGGTCCTCGCCTCCCCACCCACTTAGGGTCCCCCCTTCCGGCTGCTCCCTTAAGGTCCCGCCGTCGGGTCACTTCTTGGCGGCTTCTGCCTGAGCTGCCAAATCCGCCTCTTTCTGAGCAGCCAGGAACACGGCTCGTTCCTTCTGGAAAGCGGCCAGCTCCTCCGCACTGAGGCTGCAGGGGCAGAGAGAGGTGGGGGGAGCGGGGCTGGGGCGCTTGCCCAGCCTTGGCACTGTTTCAAGACCCCCTAATCTGACCCCGCCCCCTGCCAGGAACCCGCAGGACCCCTCCACCAGCCTCTCCCTCCCTCCCACCGCCCCGCTCACTCCTCTAGGCCAGGCTTCACCCAAGTGCAGGCTCACCGGCCTTTGCTCTGAACCCCAAACCCTCCGAAGTCATCAGGCGGCCTATGGGTTCTCAGGGCGGGGCACCCAATTTCCAAACAAGGAAAGATTTGTGAGAAGGGACCAGGGAGGGAAGGCGTAGCTGAGAGGCCGCGGTCACACCTCATGCGTGTGAGGTCCCAGTGTGATCCCCAGCAGAGGTTATGCCTCACATGAGGGAGGCCCCATCCAACCTCCCATTTGAAGGGAACAATTCCCGAGTCCCCTAGAACTTGAGCATATCCCTCCCCCAGATTACCCCACTGGGCTGGGGGTCAAATATGACCTTCGGTCACCGTCAAGTTCCTTCCCTGCACGTGCTCCCGTTTGCCTGGCCTCCTGGCCACCATCCTCATCCGCACGTTCAGACTGCACCTGCCCGACCCCTTCTTCATCCCTTTGCCGGGTCTCTGCTCAGATGTCCCTTCCTCTGTGGAGCCATCACTGCCAGCCATCCCACCCCTGGCTCCCATCCCGGGAAAACCAGGAGCCCCTACTCGGTGCTCAGGACGCCTGCAAATTCCTTTCATCAGCATGGACAACCCAGCGACCAAGACCCCACGAATAGGTGTCCCCTGCTTCCTGTGTGCGGAAGCGACTCTGGAGCTGGGGGAGCCTGGTCGGAGTCCTGAGCCGCGTCCAGTGGTTCCAGTCCTTCCCCACGGGCTCCCCAACAATGAGGCCATGCACCCCGGCGGAGCATTCCACGCCCTCTCCCCTCCCGCAGGCCCGACACCCCTCTCCACGCCACTCACTCCTTGAGCACCCGAATGCCCAGCGAGCGCGCAGAGCCAATGATGGAGCGGACGACGGAGGCCAGCGGCACGTCTTGCAGAGCGAAGGCGTCATCCTGGGCCTTGACGCGGGCGATCTCATACACATGCTTCAAGGTCACCAGGCCTGCCACCTCCTTCCCTGGGGGTGGGGAGCCATCAGGGCCTGCCCTTCCTTCCCGAGCCCCCAGGAGGAGGGGAGGGGGTCCCAGCCTCACTCACCTGTGTTCCGGGCCCCCTTCTCAATGCCCGCTGCAGCTTTCAGGAAGTAGGAGACGGTGGGCTGGCCAATCTTGATTTCAAACGTCCTGTCCGGCTAAGGGGGCGAGAGAAATGTGAAACTCACTCTCTGCACCGCCTGTCCCGGGAATGTCTCTCTGGGGTCTCAGGCCTCCCCCACCCCCGCGACTTCCCCTTCCTCCAGGGCCCCTCCAACAACCACAAAACGGGTGGGAAAGTAGAGGAAATGCCGCGCCCCCGTTCCGGCCGACGCGGACGGAGCCCCGGTGCAGTGGAGGGTGCGGACAGGTTCCGAAGAGCCGGTGTGATCTGTGTGCTGCACAGCTGGGGGCCGGCCACCGGGAGCACCGTGTCGAGAGTCGGGGAGGACGGAGAGCCCCGGGGGAGCAGCCCGGGGAAAAGGGGCTCGGCCTTGCACCTTCACAAAAATCTTGGTGGGCAGAGGGATCCCTTCTTTGATGTCCTTGGTCATCTCGTTGAACTCCTTGCAGAACTGGTTGATGGACACGCCCCGCTGGGAGGGAAGCAGAGGGGTGAGCGCGGGGAGGAGCGGCGGCTCCCGCCACTCCCGGGTTCCGAGCCGCGGGCACGCTCTGGGCGCCGCCTGCCCTGGACGCCCTGGACGCCCCCGTCCCGGCCGCGGGAGAGGGTGGAGGAAGCCGAGCCCAGCTCCGCACCGCGCCCACCGCCCCGCGCCACCCGCGTCCCGTGCCCGTGGCGGCCGCACCTGACCCAGGATGGGCCCCAGAGGCGGCCCGGACATGGCCTGGCCCGCCCGCACGATGGTCCGGATCACGCCGCCGGCCTCGGGCTTCTTGAGAGCCCGAGTGGCCCGGCTTAACTTGGACATGACGCCGAGTTCCCGGGCTTAGTTCACCCCAGGGCGGCAGCAGGAGCGACGGCTCTGGGCGCCGCCATCTTGGGTCAGAGGTCAAAGGCCCTCGCCCGAGGTGACAGCGGGTGAGGCCCACAAGGCTCAGCGTGTTTTCAGACCTTCCTCCTTCCAATAGTAAGACAAGGAGGACTGACGAGGAAGAAGAAGAATGATGTTTGTTCCGGGAGGCAGAAAAAGGCCCCGTATGGCTGGGGTACCCCTATTTCTCCCGGAATGCGCACAGGCAGTGCCTCGGACAGCTAAGCCCGGGGTCCGCGCGGGCGGGGGGGGGTTAGAGTGGTGCGCGCAAGGCATTGTGGGTGTTGTAGTCCGGTCGCTTCCGCGAGTCCCGCTACTCGCTGTGCTCTCGGGCGCCACCGGCTGGACGTCGTGACCTTAAATCTGAATTTGCCTCCTCAGTCGGTGTCGAAGCCTGCATGGCTGGAATATCGGAAGCAATCAGAAGCAAACCGCCCAGTGGTTGCTGTCTGTGAATTTGATCGTGTTATTGAACTATGCTCGATTTTCTCCTCTGCCCAGTAGGAAAATAGACAGTGTAGATTGTAGCACTGTAGCACTGTCCTCCCGTTGTTCATTGATTTGCTCGAGCGGCACCAGTAACATCTCACAACTAATTGTGAGACTTGTTGTTACTGTTTTTGGCATAGCAGATACGTCATGGGTAGCTTGCCAGGCTTTGCTGCGCAGGGGAGATACTCTCAGGAGCTTGCTGGGCTCTCCAAGAGGGGCGGAGGAATGGAACTCCGGTGGGGCGCATGCAAGGCCAACGCCCTACCCGCTGTGCTATCGCTCCAGCCCAGACAGTGTAAGACAGAATATGAAATAGAATTTAAAAAACCTGCATTTTATCCATCCTCAAGATGGATCCACCAAGTTTGTATAGAGCTGTGGTAGAACAATGCCTGCCCGATCACGTGAGAACCAAACCTTGACAGAGGGCTATCAAGGCTGGAACATAATTATAGACCATGAGTCCTGTAAAGTTAGCCAGAATTTTGTCAAGCTTAACTTTCATCTGCGGGCACTTGCTAGGTGCCATGCACTGTGCCTATAGCACATTTTAAGGGCATTGTCTGGGGAAGGATTGGGCCACACTTGGCAGTATTCCGGGATGACTTCTGGCTCTATGCTCAGGATCACTCCTGGAGATGCTTAGGGCTTGCATGTTCACCAGGAAAGCATATAATATAACCACTCTCTGTAACTGTCTCCTAGGGCTTGTGAGAATTAGAGGCAAGGAAACCACTTACTCTTCAGTTCTCAGATCTTCAAAAATGGAGAGACCTGTACTTGAGGGCTTTTTGCCAAAGACCCACACTGGAAAATCTCATGCAATCAAATTAGGTTAAGAGGACATTGATTTTGAGGGCCAGAGGGATAGTACAATGGGAAGATATACACTACCAGCCCGGGTTTAATCCCTGGCATTACATATGGTCCCCTGAGCTTTGCCAGGAGTGACCCCTTGTTAAACCAGGCCGAGATCTCCCCAGAGGAATCACACGAAGACAAGTTGCGATTCAATAAGCAAAGGGTCTTTGTTGGCTAGCTCAAGCTAGGGTTCAAGTCTCATCCAATGCAGTGGAGTCTTGACAGGGACCCTGACTTTAAAACATAAGCAGTTTATATAGGGTTCAGAGTTAAGAACGGTTTATATACTGGTCAATTTTTAGCATTGGCCTTATTACATTAGTGGTCAGCAATTAGACAGCAGGTACCAGTAACAGTTTGGGGTTTCTTCCAAGAAGGGTGTAGTGACCCCTCATGATTGGCCAGGTCCAACTGTCCAATTTTTTATCTAACTGAGTTACTCAATTGGGAGTTTACCAGAAACTGCAAGTCCTAATTCGGGGAAACAGAAACTGAGACCTAGTTGAGCCTTAATGTTAGCTGAAGCTTGTCATGGCATCAGTTTTGCCCTCACACCCTGAACACAGAGCCAAGATTAAGCCCTAAGCAGATATGCGCCCACTACGAGGGGGGTAGAGGCGAGAGAGAGAGAGAAAGAGAGAGAGAGAGAGAGAGAGAGTTTTGAACTTTCAGTTGATGGAATTGAGTAAGTTGTGGGGGGTGGTAAGGATGAAATATTTTTGTTTTGGGGGCCTCCAGTCACAGCTCTGCTTCAAGCCTGGTGGTCACACCCAGGGGTGCCCAGTCTGGCAGCGCAGACCTGATGATTAGGTGCTTGGATCCAGCAATGCAGTGTCTGGTGGTGTTGGGGCCCACCAGGTGGTGTTTGAGGGGACCCCTGTGTGGCTCTGGAGATGAACTCTGGACCTCATACATACAAGGCGTGCATTCCACCCCTTTGAGTCATCTCACTGTTTCCCAAACCAAGGACGCGCAAAATTAGTTACTAGCCTGTTGTCCTGTTTTTTTTTTTTTTAATTCAACCCTCTGCAGTGATTGATATTTCCAGAAGGGGGCGCTCCTGCACTGGGTGAGCTCGTCTCTCTCGTCCCCCATCCTCTCCAGCGCCAGCTCCCTTCTCAGGCAATCTCAAACTGGACCCACTGTTCCTTGCTCCCCAATTTCTGATCTTCAGAAACTCTGAAAGATCATCACATTTATTAATCAAACTCACAAAATTTGTGTTGGTGAAAATGCTCGGCGGCGGTACAGTTTATACCTTATACCAGCAGGAACGACCATCTCCGAATGCAACAGCTATGTGTACCTAGGTCGAGAGGTCAACATGACAAATGACCTGGCACCCGAGCTGCGCAGGAGGAAGAGAGCGGCTTGGAACGCCTTCAAGAACGTCGAAGAAATAGCTAAGAGGACGAAGAACCTCCGGCTCCGGGCACATCTCTTTGATTCCACTGTTCTTCCTGCATTAACATATGCCTCAGAGACCTGGGCCCTACGCAAACAAGATGAGAACGCCATTCAGGTCTCCCAAAGAAGAATAGAAAGAGCTATGCTTGGAATATCACGTTTCACTCAAATGAGAGAAAGAATCCGGAGTTCTAACATCCGTCGACGATCAAGAATCAGGGACGCTGTCTCATTTGCCAAGGTGTCGAAAATCAGATGGGCTGGTCACGTAATGAGATTTAAAGACGACCGCTGGACTAGAGCGGTTACCGACTGGATTCCACGGGATGTCAAAAGACCGCGTGGCCGCCCACCTACCAGATGGTCAGACTTCTTCGTCAAGATCATGAACGATCGGTTTGAGGCCCTTCATGTTCCCGGAGCGAACAGATGCCATTGGGCTACACTAGCACGCGACAGGGACAAATGGAGACGTTACTGGCGCCCGCTCGAGCAAATCGACGACTAACGGGAAGTTAAGTGATTAAGTGATTAAGTGACCAGCAGGCACTAAAATGGTTTTATCCTCACTCTGACCCAGGGCAGGGCAGGGGCTGTCTCAAGTGTAAGTTCTTTAATTACAAGTGGGGGTGGCAGAACGTTATATAATTGTAGCACTGTAGCACTGTCCTCCTGTTGTTCATGATTTGCTTGAGAGGGCCCAGTAAGACTTGTTACTGTGTTTGGCATATCGAATACATCACGGGGGGCTTGCCAGGCTCTGCCGTGCAGGCAGGATACTCTCGGTAGCTTGCCAGGCTCTCCGAGAGAGGCAGAGGAATCGAACACGGGTCGGCCATGTCAGCTGCGTGCAAGGCAAACGCCCTACCCACTGTGCTATCGCTCCAGCCCATATAGCTGTAGATCTGTAGATCTATCTATATTTGTTGCTGGTGCCAGGCTGGAACCCAAAGACCCACACATGCAAGGCTCCATAGCTAAGTTCTGTCCCTTTCCATACATAAAATAACTTTGTTTTGGGGGGGGCCCATACCCGACTGTGCTCAGGTCTTATTCCTGGCTCTGTGCTCACTGGTCAATCCTGGAAGGACTTGGGGGACCATCGGGGGTGCTGGGAATTGAACCCAGTTTGGCCGTGTGCAAGGCAAACGTCCTCCCTGCTGTACTGTCACTCCACCCCTTGCCCCCACCAAATGAAATGACTCTGAAGTGGTGGGAGTAGCTGAGAAGGCTGGTGTGAATGCTCTGTTTGCGAGAGGCCCGAGTTCAGTCCCCAGGAATACTAGGCACCCCCAAAAAAAAATCCAGAACCAGAAGTAGCTCCTGAGCACCATTAGGTATGGCCCCCAAACAAAATGATTGTCTTGTTTGCCTTCCAAAAACTGTTTTTGTAGGGGTCCGGACCCTATCACTCAGATGCTGGGGGAGCAGCTGAAACAGCTGGACACGTCCAGGATGCCTGGAGTTGACGTGGACCCAGTCCTGGCCCAGAACTCACCTGGCAGCTCTTCCCAGTCCCCGCTGTCCCCTGGGAGAGATCTGTCACCTGGTATGTCTCTGCTTTCCTCCAAGGGTTCTTGGCGATTCTCAGGGCTCCCTGCTGAGGAGGCAGTGAGGGGAGAGGACGGCTGCGTGGGGAAGGCTGGTGCTGGGCGATGCCCGCCAACCCTGCGCCCTCCCTCCGCCCTCTGGCTCCCTTAGGATGGCACCTGGTGAGGCTCTGCTGGCCGCCTTCAGGGGCCGGGGACAGGCTGCAAGCCGTCAGCTCCAGCTGGTCTGCACTGGTCACCACTGCGTTCCTCATCCCGGAAAATGAGCGCAAAGACCAGGCTGACTCAAGCAACCTTGCATGCGCGAGACCGAGGCCCGGGGAATTCTTGGTACTGACGGCTTTGATCCCCCTCCTCCGGTGCGGCTAGGGGTGGTCCTGCCATCCCAGGGACCACCGGGAGCCTCCTGCTCCCCACAGCGAGCAGCTGGGCCATCCCCGCGGGTCACCCTGAATCTTCCAGGGCTTGGGGGCCGCAGCCCCCACCATACTGAGAACAAGCCTCAGATGAGACAAGACCTTTTATCTTTTGTTTTGTTTGGGGGCCACATGGGCAGTGCTCAGGGCTACTCCTGACTCTGCACTCACTCATTACTCTTGGTGGGCTTGGGGGACTGTGTGGGGTGGGGTGCTGGGAATCAAACCCGGGTCGCCACGTTCAAGGCAAGCATCCTACCTGCGGTACTATTTCTCCAGTCCCTAAACTCTCTCTCTCTCTCTCTCT